GTGATTTTAGCCAGTCAAATTAGAAGCACGGTCAAATCCTTCTAGCAGAAAGAGGACTGAAGCCTGTAAATATTCCCAAGAAGGTGCATTTTTCAATCTATATACTGTGCACAGCAGTATTTAGTTTTCCAGTGGTATTTACTTAACTTTACACAGGAAATTAAACTTAACCAACACAAACAATAAGCAGTTGATATTTCAGTTATACTTAGTGCGTACAAACAGAAAGAAGCTTTTGATATTGCCTCTGGACTTAAAACCTGGTCTCATTCACTGTCTTCAGTAAGAGACTACATTTTTTAATCCTCTGAATAACTATTATTATTGTGGCTATGTTGATAATTTCTGGTAGTGGTCTGTGGTAGTCCCAGCCATAAAAAGCATTGTTGTTCACTGCAAATATATGCTAAAATATTCTACCAGATGATGAGGAGAAAAATTATTATAATTTTGATTTACTTGTTCTAAAATAAACATCTGTAAACTAATTACAAGATACACCTTTTTTGCAGATTCTGTGAATGGAAAAGACTCACTGATTACCAGTTTTGTCTTCAGTTCTATTTGATGAATCACATTCAATTACAACATAATTAGGTAGCACCTCTGCAAAAATATGCCATGTAATGGTTATAAAGAATGAAAAGAAGTGATCATACTGTAATTTCAAAATACATCATGGCAATTCTTTTTACTAAATTTCTGTGCAAAGGATGTCACTTATCTTAATTGTTAGTGTCAATACCATAGTCCTAATATTATAGTTTCCAAAAAAACCTAATTTCAATGCCAAAGTGAAGTCTGTATTTACTTAAGAAATCATCTCAGACCCATTTAATTTCAAACACTCAAGGAATCCCATTAGACTACTAAATGTAAGAAAATATAGAATTCTCTGCTTTTTAGAAGCTTTAGACAACATCAAAGTCCTCTGGCATAATTCTGATTTAAAACAATGCAGTATGCGGGTTTGCAAATATGTTTTAGTCTCTAGGAAACAGAAATACTACCGAAAACGTGTACAAATACATTATCATCGCAGCTTCCAATGGCTTGAGGCAGGATCAGGGCCCCTTATGGTTGAAATGCATTGGCATTTAAAGATAAGCAAAACCCAAAAAAAAAGCCCCTGCTGGATTTTTGCAGAAAGGAAACAAATTAGCAAGGAGGACTCATGAGGCACAAATCTCAACACAGCTTTTCTTCTTGACCCGATGACTAGGCAGTGAAAGTCACAAGACTTGTGTGTAGTCCAGTAACCTCATCTTCAGAGGAGAAACCTTCTCTGAATCAGCTAGGTCCAACCCTAGCTGTAAAATATCTTGCAAACTGGCAGGGCATGTGTTCTGCTGGCAGGTGAGCTGCCACTTCATTCAGGATGCATTATGTAGACACCTCTCCATCATGGTACCACCGATGCTGAGATCTGCTCTAGGGACTCACACAGGTTGTCTGGAGCACTGCAGTTGGTCCTAAAAATCTCAACGTGGACTCGAGTCACCACTTTGTTACTCAGACTTTAGCCAGTTTTATTTTACAAAAGCTTATTGGGAACCAGGCTGCCTATGTCATCCTGGATCCCTCAGCAACACTCAGGATGCTGGGTCAGTCATCAGGAAAATATCCTCACCTACCAAAACAGATTTTAGTATGCCCTTATTTTGCATACTGTTGTAATGGTGCTGTTATTTGACCTTTCAGTTGTGACAAGTCAGCCTTAAAAAACTCATGGCTTGGCTTAAAAACCACTGAATCTTAAAATTGTATATTGAGCCTCAGTTTATTTGCCCACTGGATCTTTAACCTATAGAATTGGCGTCTTTACATGTTTAAAAGCTTTGATCTCTTTTGTTTCCTGTTGTCTGGGTTTTTTTTTAGTAGAAGATTAATTTCTTCCATATCACAGGATACCATGAGGTGCGTTTCCAGGTAAAAATGCCATGTACTACAGTGTGGTAGCAGTCGTGGGAGTTACCAATGTTGCAGTCTGAGCAGCAAGGAAGAAGAGCAAGCTGGCTAAACACTCACACACACATACGCACACCCGGCATGAAATATTTCTTTTCTGTGGTGTTTACAGAGGGTGGTTTGGGTACTAAAGGAGGCTGCAGCCTGTTGCTGCCTGTGCAGCTATTGGGACAGCTGAGAACCTCCCAGATTGCTCCTCTGAAAAGCTCCTGTGCCAAAACCGTGCTGTCTTCTCTCCCCCTCTACTGTTCCTAGAGAAGAAAGGCTCAAAAACAGGTTTTGGGGGACTAATGGGTACTGCTGTTTTGCCAAGTTTCTGCGATACTTTGATTTGATGCCCTAGAGACATTTTTTAAGCCCAAAGGCTTTCAGAGGAATGGGCAGCTGCAGGCAGGCACCAAGTCTACGGTGCAGTTACTCAAGGAAATAAACTCAAGGCCACATATTCTAACTAAATCTGAAACTGCTCTTCAAGCTGTAACCTAAAGGAAAAATAACTTAAGAAATGCAAGGATTATATTTTTTTTTTCTTTTCTTGCTGTGCAATTCACAGTATGAGCTGGTGCCAGCAGGTCATCCACTGACAAGGACCATGACCGGTCTTCTGCAACCAGATCTACACATCTCTCACAAGGGCTGGCACATCGTATTATTTTCCAGAAACTCCAGGTCCTGAAAAAATGCCTAAAGATTTCCTACGTGCCACAAGGAGCATAAAATAAGGAAATGCTTTTATGGGCTTTTGGATAAGTTTAAACACATTAAAATTGTAAAAGCTCTTAGACATAAAAGCAGTAAGAAGAAAAGCAGGCATGTGTAATACTAAAATTTTATTACATTACAAGAAACTCAGTAGTAGGTTGACTTTAAGTACCTTGGGCTCAAGTGAACATTAAGTGTGTGGTTTATCTTTTGCAATTGCCTGTGTTTTTAGTACCATTTTGTTTAAAGTCTTTTATTGTTATTTGCTGTTATTGTTAAACTCTTGTCTGATAAATGCTACCCAAAAAACTCAAAATGTTAAAATTAGATATGATGTTCAACTGAGAGCATAATGGAGTCAATTGTGAATATGAAATCGTATTTTTCAAGTTTTTAACACTGATAAAACATGCAAACAGGGAAAAGACAATATAGAATTGTTACAATTTTTCATTATTTTTTCTTTCTCATATGTTTAATTAATGGAAATTTTCTGACATGATCACAGAAATCATTGAAGAGGCTATTCTGGAGAGTAACTCCAAGATAAAATACTGACATCTATATGGAATATAATTATGGCACAGGAAGGGAATGATCGCAGCCATGAAAAAGAAATATAAGCTGCTTTAGAGAATTAAGTAACTTCAACCCCAGTAAGTTCAGTATATTTTTCATCAGCATTAAAAGGAGCTATACCTGCTCACAATGTAAGTAAATTTAAACAAGTTAATTTCATCCTAAATCCAAGAAGACTATTCTAGGAAATGAAGGATGAAGATTGCTAAGATATTTGTTCTAGGATGAAGATGACTAGCTTGTCCTTGTGCAAAATCCAGTAATTCCCTTTCCTGCGTTAGCTTTCTGCCAAGTCAAATATTTGTGAATAGCTACTCCTTAGAGTCAAAGAATCATAGAATTGTCTAGGTTGGAAGGGACCTTTCAGATCATCTAGTCCAGCCATCATCCTAACACTGACAAAAACTGCCACTAAACTAAAATATCTCTAAGCACTATCTGTACCCGTTTTTTAAATACCGCCAAGGAGGGTGCCTCAACCACTTCCTGGGCAGCCCATTCCAAGGCTTAATAACCATTTCAGTGTAAAAGTTTTTCCTAATATCCAGTCTAAGTCTCCCTGGTGCAACTGTTTCCTCTTGTCCAGGACCTCAATCTCTTTCTTGTAGTGAGGGGCCCAAAACTGGACACAGCACTTGAGGTGAGGCCTCACCAGTGCTCCCTATTCCTACTCCCCACACTGTTCCTGACACAGGCCAGGATGCTGGTGGCCTTCTTGGCCACCTGGGCACACTGCTGGCTCCTGTTCAGCTGGTGTCCACCAACACCCCCAGGGCCTTTTCTGCCAGGCAGCTCCAGCCACTCTGCCCCCAGCCTGGAGCGCTGCAGGGGGTTGGTGGGACCCAAGGGCAAGACCCAGCACTTGGCCTTGTTGAACCTCATCCCGTTGGCCTCGGCCCATCCATCCATCCTGTCCAGATGCCTCCACAAAGCCTCTCTACCCTCAAGCACATCAACACTGCCACCCAATTTGGTGCCATCTGTGAACTGACTGAGGGTGCACTCGATCCCCTCGTCCAGATCATTGATAAAGATATTAAAGAGGACTGGCCCCAGTACCGAGTCCTGAAGGACACCACTTGTGTGTGTGTGGTGTGCGCTGCCAACTGGATTTAACTCCATTCCCCACCATTCTCTGGGCCCGGCCCTCCAGCCAGTTTTTTACTCCTTGTTCCAGCATAATTCTCAGAATTATGTTATAGTGTAGTATAGAGTTGGGTCTAAATACGAAGAAGGTATTAATCTTCCAAATATGTCTGAAAAGATTTTGGTCTGAAACAAAACAAGCTTTGAATGAACTATTTTATAATGTAATATACCATCATTTTGTGAAGAGCAGCCCCACTGACCTTATGAGATTTGTCTGAAGCAGTATCTTGCATTTCACATTTTGCACCACCTCCAGGTCTATATTCATTAACAGCTTTTCAGTATCTTGGTCTGAGTTCATATCTCTTTGTTTTTTTATCATAGCACAAATAATTCTAGTCAGATTTACCGCAGTTATTCAGAGTTATAACAGTTATTCAGAGTTCGTAATCATGCTGATGACAACTTTTAAATTCTATTAAAATACCATTTGCCTTTCTCACGAATGCTTCTGGCAATAGCTAAAAAAAATATAATCCAACTTCTTATTAGCAAAGTCACCACAAACCATAAAAGTTTCAAACTACATTACAATAGACACCTATTCTCTCTTCAATTTTAGGACCTTCAACATAAAGTAGATGTTCAAGAAAACACCGTACCTGAGAACTCAGAGTTCTGGGCCAGATTTCTCCCAAGTGGAAGAAAAGCAGTGCCAGTGTTTTAGCTTTGTGGCTGTGTTCTTCAAAAGCTTTCTTTTCTGAGATGCTAGCTCTTTATGAGTCATATTAATGCCTGCTGCAACTCCCCTGTAGATACAAAGAAAAATTCTGCCTCACGTCATGCAAAACTCACTTTCAATCAGAATATAATCTGCAGGTGTTAAATATACAATGTGACGCAAACCAGTGACGATCTATGTAGAGCAATATGCGTTCCCAGGGTAAGAATTTAAAAGAAAGATAACCTGGGTTAGGTTCAGGTAAGTAGCAAGTATAATAGGAAACAGAATGGCCAGGTAGTGCTTAACAGCATGTACTCTAAAAAACTGCTTACAACTTAGAATGAAATTTTAAAGAGTTAAAGGTTAATTGGAAAGCCTACCTTTTCCATCTAACCTTCCAAATTTAATTAAGTATCACAAAACCAGCAAAGACTCGGTATGCCTTGTTAAAGCAACACTAGCCTGATTAAAATGAATAGTTCTTGAGCTCAGTTCTGCTTTCATTTTTCTGAAGTAACTCTTCTATAGCCAGTTATCTCTCACTATCAATAAAATCTCTTCCTTTTTCTGAAAGCTCCCAGTCAGATGACTGAATTTGTCTTTATCAGAAAAGAGCTGAGCCTGCTTTAAGCTGGGAGTTCAAACCTGTCTATTTGCATCTGGAAGCCAACTGGAACGGGAATTGTCTTTCCAGTATGCCTTGGGTCCTAAGAGGAAAGAAATAAGAACAGTACTTTTCACCACCAAAGTTTCGGTGTTTCTGGTCTCTGTAAGATGAGGGAAATGAACTTGCAGCATCTGGAAGACAAGTCTTTCTTTCAGATTTTATTTGTCTGGAATTTAATAAAGCCGTACTGAAGACTGAAGTTCTGCGATTGGGGGGATTTAGAGATTTCAAATTGATATTTTTTTTTTAAATACTCTGTTTAAGCACAGAGTAACTTACCATGGAAAGAAGTTGAAACAGTGATAACAAAATAAAATAAAAAAATAATAAAAAATAATTACAAAAATAGCGAATAGTGAATGTTACAATACTGCATGAATATTTTAGTTTGTTCAAATTCTCCAATCCCAAAAAATCTGGTGAGTAATTTAGTGTGTTCTACAGGGATTTTTAATTTGGCAGAGCTTTGTTTTTCCACAAAGAAGGTTCCACCAAAGTATTTACCTCCCAGCTTTAGCATCATCTAGGATCTTAATTGCAATTTTACTATTACCAAATAAAATAACAGCAGGAGTTTTACTTGCCTCTAGCATTAACCTTGCAAATACTTCCGTGCAGCTTTTACAGTCATATTCCATATTCCAGTTTCAAACTCCCTGCCTTTCAACCATTTATACCAGGGCAGTTAGAGGAAGGACCGAGCCAAAGGTCCACATCTCAGTCCATTTCAGCTGTTTCTGATCTACCACATTTGGAGAGTAACTGTGCAGCAGAAACTACTATCACTTGTGGTCTAGATAATTATCAAATGGAGCCCATATCTTGTATTTCTTTTCTCCATTCCTCTGACTGTGAGCAAGTTTTGACCCCCAAAGCTGTGGAGGAGAAATTGAAGGAGTCAAAGCAGCAGTTTACTTGTGAGTATGGACAAAAATCAGTATCTATAGACAAGTAAATTAAACATGGCAATACCATTCTATGACACTGAAATCAATTGCATAGACCAGTTCGTGTCATAGAATCATAGAATCATCTAGGTTGGAAGGGACCTTAAAGATCATCTAGTCCAACCATCAATCTAACTCTGACAAAAAAAAACAAAAACAAAAACAAAAACCAAAAACCACACAAACCACTAAACCATATTCCTGAGGACCATGTCAACCCGTCTTTTGAACACCTCCAGGGATGGTGCCTCAACCACTTCCCTGGGCAGCCCATTCCAATGCTGGATAACACTTTCTGTGAAGAAATTTTTCCTAATATCCAATCTAAACTTCCCCTGGCACAACTTGAGGCCATTTCCCCTTGTCCTATCTCCTGTCACTTGGGAGACAAGACTGACCCCTGCTTCTCTACACCCCCCTTCAGGTAGTTACAGAGCACGATAAGGTCTCCCCTCAGCCTCCTCTTCTCCAGGCTGAACACCCCCAGCTCCCTCAGCCTCTCCTCATAAGACTTGTGCTCCAGACCCCTCACCATCTTCATTGCCCTTCTCTGGACCCCCTCCAGCCCCTCGATGTCTTTTTTGTGGTGAGGGGCCCAAAACTGGACACAGCCCTCGAGATGGTGCCTCACCAGTGCCCAGTACAGGGGGATGATCACCTCTCAGGTCCTACTCACCACACTGTTCCTGAGACAGGCCAGGATGCTGTTGGCCTTCTTGGCCACCTGGGCACACTGCTGGCTCATGTTCAGCCGACAGTCGACCACACTACTGAATTCCTCTCCCCTCCCAAGCATCATGGCCTTACCCAGATTGCCTGTCACGACTGGTCCCTTCCTTTGGCTAACCCCTGAGCAAGGTCTGAGCAGGCTGAGAGACGGCTGGCAAGGGCAAAACCACTCCAGGGACCACTGTGATAAGCCACCGCTGTAGGTGGTCAGGTTCCAGGCCCCAGGAATGTCTCTTGCCCACCACTTGACTTAACATGGATAGAGCCATAGTGGCATGCAACAAGGCAGGGACAGCTAAAAATTAGCAAAGAGGCAGCCAGGCAGCTGTTTTGACAAGAAGTTAAGCAAAATGCAAAATGCAAAAGCAAGCAAGCTCTGGAACCTTTGGGCTGCTGCAGGTCCACAGCCAAGTCACAGCAGAGGACAATTTCTTGTAAGAAAGGAAGTTTAGCTGAATTCATCCTGTTTTGGTTTTCCCCACGATCAGTGTACTCACGCTTCCTTTAAATAATTCAGGAACTACCTTTTTAACTTTAAAAAGATACCGTCATGTTTTGCTGCTCACACTAAACTTCTTACCAGTGGAAAAAGCGGAGAGAAATTTTTAAAAAGCATTTCCAGTACAAGGAGCATTGGAAGTTATGTCAGTGCTTTTCCCTCTGCCACCCCATCTTTATTCATGATTTTAACCATACACTTAATGAGTCTGAGACTCACCTCAAAAATCCTCCACGGCTGCCAAGCGTTCCTTGCTCCTTTTTCCTCAAGCTCATCTGAATTCTGCGAGTGGCACCACTTCTGCAGTGAAGTTCCCTCCTGACAGGCTGGTTCTCTGATTGACAGGCAGCACACACACGCCAAGCAGGGTGTCAGAGAACACAACACGATAAAACCAAACACAGCTTAATACAGCTATGATAATGCCAAACTGCTTAAAATTCTCTGTACCTTTGACAGAGTAGCCGTGTAGTGTGTGTCTTTCAAAGCTGTGCATCTGCCTAGAAAAACCTAGTTTCGGCGGCCCTTAAAGGAGATGATAAATACCGTTTGCATTTTAAACCAGGTTTAAGCTAAAGCTAAGTAAATTGATTTTTGCTGATGAGAGCGAGATGTTTATTGTCATCTTTCAGACTTGCAAGCTTGTATTTCATATATGTGTGATGTGAGGCTACTAGACTTAAATAGCGCTCATAACACCATGACTGGGGAAGAGAAGGCTCTGGGGAGACCTTATAGCAGCCTTCCAGTACCTGAAGGGGCTACAGGAGAGATGGGGACAGACTCCACCAGGGACTGAAGTGATAGGATGAGGGGTAACAGTTTTAAATTGGAAGAGAGGAGATTTAGATTAGATATCAGGAAGAAATTCTTTGCTGTGAGGGTGGTGAGACACTGGAACATGTTGCCCAGAGAAGCTGTGGCTGCCCCATCCCTGGAGGGGTTCAAGACCAGGCTGGATGGGGCTTGGAGCAACCTGGTCTGGTGGGAGGTGTCCCTGCCCAGGGCAGGGGGGTTGGAACAAGATGATCTTTAAGGTCCCTTCCAACCCAAACCATTGACTCTACGATTCTATGAAATAAAGCCGGTGGTGCCGCCCATCAAAGAGGTGCTTTGCAGCATGAAAGCAGGTGGTGTGCCTGGCAGTGTGCCACAAAGAGATGCGAGAGGTTTGGGAAGGCAAAGCCTGCTGAGAGAGCACTGGAGGAATTCACTGAAGGAGCCAAACCCCATCCTGCTGTTGTGCACGGTGTCTCCTCTCCTCTGAGCTGCAACCAAAAAAAGGTCTCAGAAACTGACAGCCAGCACAGAACAGAACACTTAAGGGGGCATAAACAGCCTGAATGGTTAGTAGACTGGTGTTTGAAACAACTCCCAGTCTTTCTTTTATTTAGCAGTACAGAAAGAGGCTGAGAAAAAAGTTCACTGGCCCTTGCAGGAGCAGTGAGCACAGAAGCCTTCTCCGGCTACCCAAGCACAGCAGCTGCAGCAAGGTCAATGAGCCTACCACATGATGGTCAATTTTTCATCCACAATCAGAATTTTCTCATTTGAAGAGTTGAATGCAGTAGTTTTCAGTCAAGCCAAACTGAATTTCCTTTGGCCAAATGTAAAATCTTGGTTTTGAGACAGTTCACATTTCCACTATTATTTGTTTTATGATGTCTTAAGGGAATTTGAAGTCTCCAAAATTCTGCCAGGCAAGACATCTTCTGAGCAGCCTGAGCTAGTCTCTCCCCAAGAAGTGACTGAGTAGGAGGCTCTGTGAGAGAAACCATCAGAAGACCATCTGAATTCTGAGACAAGCCAAAATGAAATAATCCGATCTGCTGCTGAAAGCAAAATGTGCATTTTTTTAACTTGATGGGATTTCTTTGCTTGTTTCACTAAACATGACTTTTACTGAATGTTACATGACTAAGCATGATTTTTACCCTGCAAAATTCTACCGAATCCAAAAAAAACAAGTGTTTGTCGCTAACACTGTATGAAAAGTTGGGCACCCCGATGCACAGTGGTCTATGGTGGTGTTTAGAAGTCATCCATCTCCCTACCCCTGAGTCTATGGTTAATTTCTCATTCCTCCCATCATACTTGCTAATTACTGCTGATTTTACCTTAGAAACATTTAGAAGATTCATCTTTTTTCTTTACAAGGCTGAGCCAGTTACTAAGAACACAGCAGCTTCCACAGTTCTTAATTACACTCATTGCAAAAATAATGGCTTAATTTGATACATACCTTTAATTTGAAACTTCCATGTCTCAATATCTGCACCAAGGGTATAATGCTGAATTCCCACTCACAACCATGGAAGAAACATGTCTAACAATATTCTCTGCAATGAGGATTTTTTTATTTTTTTTTTACTTTGTTCGTTACTATTCCTTAATTTGTACTTTGGGATCTGTTGCTTCTTGGGTGAAAGAAAAGCAAATTAATGCATATAGAGGTGCAAAACATTGGCATGGGATGGAGTCACAGGCTGTGCTTGCTATATAACAGGAAATTTTTAAGATGAAGAAGAAATTTTTAAGATGAAGCTGGAGACAACGAGACCACCCTCACAGATCCATTGCGGAAATTACAACCAGCGTCTCATTCAAATGAAGACTAAGTTCAGCCCGAGGAAACTGCTGCCTAAGAGAGCTAGCGAAGATTAAAGGAGATCAGCTAATACCAGCTGAAACTGCAGTATTTTGAATTCAGTTGGCTTATTCTTGACTTGTGCCTTTAATGGGTTATACGCACATTTGTTCTTTCCTGCAATCTGAGTTACATAAATTGCTATGCAAGCACCAGATAAAGTTTTCAAACAGACTCATTGGCACATTAATCTATACCACGATAAACGGACTGAATATCAGATTTTTTTTTCATTAAGCAGCGAATGTCAGCTCCTTTGGGCATACGAGGTGTCATCAACTTTATGCCAGCTTTGCTGACTCATATAAACATCTACACTTGTAAGCATTAATTTTCTTAGAGCTGCAGCACATTATGTACTAAAGGGGATCAGAAGTAAGCAAAATCATCTGGAAAATACAGTCTAAATTTATATTGCTTCTGCTGAGAGGATTAATTTAACTGGCTGGAGATAGAATATATATTAAGCCATTAATGTTTATAAATCTAGAGACACAAAATAACTCATTTTACACCAGCTATTATTACCGCGCTCATTTTGTTTGTGTGTGCTCAAAATGCTCTGTTACCTGAGTGGTGAGAGCACTCCGAAATTATTAAGTTGCTTTATGTTCAAGGGCAAATGCAGCCTGTGAGTTTGAATCTTTTTGAAGACCTGAGAAAAATCTAATTTTTGTTTGTGAGTCGAACAACACACACCGAGTGAGAACAAACTGCAGCTTCCTTTTCTAAGGGGGTGTGCTCCTGCCTTTTTTGATGGCAAGGTATACACTTAAGAATATCTGAACTTAAGCTACTCTTTCAAAGTCTCAGCTGCTTGGGTGTTATTTTGTGAAATCCTAAGAAGCTCCCTCATTTGCTGAATGCCTCCCGAGGGAATTAAAGGAGAACAACTCTCCTTTCACTGCAGGGCAGCACCAGGGGCAGAGAGAAGGGGTGACATTGGCAGCCCCCCTCTGCCTCCCGAGATGTGCAGGTGGTGAAGAAACACAGGACCAGACAGCAAAAGTGAACCGTAGGGAAAGGATCAGGAAAAACTGGATTCAGTCTTGGGGAGAGCTTTAAGATATTGAAAAATAATATTTTATAAAGAGACTTATCAATTGACAAATAATTATTTTATTCCTTTGTTCCTTGGAAATGGACATAGACAAAATTTAATACACAGATTTACCTCTCTGTGGGAGAAGGAAAAGGCTGAATCCCATGTAAATTGATAGATGGCTGTAGATATGTATGTGTAGATTTATTGATGGGGCTTTATGATGCTTTCACTACTTCTAAATCTCAGTAAATCTTGAAAGTAAAGCTTTTGAGTTCCGTACTGTGTCCCGCTGCACAAAAACCACAGTAGGTCTAGTTAGTTAAGTACTGAAGACAATGAGTTACTCAGCTCATCCTGTCAGATGCAGAATAGCTTTTAGTTTTTATTTTATTTGCCTTTGTTATTGCATTGACTTCATTCATATTTATCATTAAAAACAATGTTAGAAAATTTTGAAGTGCATTTAGGCGGTTTAGGGAAATGGTAATGAAATACTGAGAGATCTCTTTTTAAGGTCATCAGAACAAAACTGGCATGGGCTAGCCTTTATTCTTCACAGCTATACAAATTAAGCTGACAGCCTCCATTTTTTGCAAGTGGACTCCCTTCTGTGAGCATCAGTACTGAATAGAAATATCTGGTAAGCATGAATACCGTCTCACCTGAATTCCAGCATTTCTGATATTATTGCAACAGTTCTTGATTTGATGACTCTGTAATTTTTTAGATTTTCACAGCTTTATGACTATAATAGAATAAAAATATCTAAATTCTTACTGCCAAGAACATTTAAACTGACATTAATACTTGTTCTTTGCGCATTCCTAACGATAAGCTGACTGAAAGAGCAACCAGCACATGTATGCCTTTTTTAAAAAACATCTATTTTAGCAGCAAACATGTATCTGTTAGATATCTATTAAACTGACTAAATGCAATTTTAAATATTTTCCGAAGAAGGGTTCTTAAGACTACACAAGTTCAGTAGAGTGTCATGAGAAATGAATTTTAAACTTTCAGCAATATGTTACAAGAATTCAGTGGACCAACAGTAACTTTCCCTGCATCTGCACAGCAAGCAAACAAAAATAAAACTACCAACACTGCAGAAACATCTTTGCAATTTTGTCATCTGAATCAGGCAGCTTTAATGATTTTTGAGCCTATCTAATGTTTGTATCAGTTTATACCAGTGTTTGTAAATCTCTGCAGTGAGGAGGACACTAGAGCAACATCAGAATCCCTGGGTTTGCTCTGAGAAAAATTAACACAGCTTTTGCAGCTTTCCATTAGGAATTTATCAAAAGAGTATGCTGGGATTCAGTGAATAACAGGAGTGCCATTCTCCTACCAATACCTTGAAACTGAGGCCTTATGTCCAGTCTGTTACCCACCACAAATCTGCTGCTCTCAATGAAGCAGGGAGCAAATAGAAATCTCAGTCACACAGAAAACAGAGGTTGAGCAGAATTGGCTTCCAGTCTCCCTTTTACAGGTAAGGAAGGGGGAATGCTGTCTTGAGACCCAGTACTACCCCACTGCTGTCCTATGACTTGAATATTCCCTTTAGAAGTCAGAGGAGAACCACTCAGTGGGAATTTCTGTGACCATATTAAATGTTTCCTTCCTAAGATGAGACAGGCACAGGAACCCGTGTGCCACAATCTCAGTTTGGCAATACTCACAGCTAAGATGCCTTGGCCCATGCAGTCCCACGTAGGGCACTTTAGCAGCCTGTTCAATGCAGAAACCTACAAGATAGGAAAAAAACAGGTTGGTGCCCAACAATTTATGAATATATTCATCCAGAGATGTGACAGATGTAGACAGCTGGGGGGGCAGAAATACAGCCAGAGTCCCTAGATGCTCTGAGGATTAGGCAACGATTGATCAAGGCTTTTGAAGGTCTAGATGTGAGACTACAGTGACCAAGTCTAGCACTAAAACCTGTTTATCCCTGTTTAGATGTCTTGCTGGTGGTGGACCAAGCAGGAAGTTTATAGACTGATGTGCAGCAATCCCTACAAAACTGTAATGTTGGCTACCTTGATGAACATGTTTGAAAATAATCTTCCACTCTCAAACAAATGCAGCATAGTTGCACCTCTTTTTTCTTCACACGCTCATTTCATTGAGCAATATTATCCAATTTATAATAAAGTCTGCAAATTAGGGACCACATCAGAGACCAGTGCAAGGGACCAAGCTAACCTTAGGGATAAACTGAGATATCTCTGATTTACATCAGTACCCTCAGGGGAAGGTTAGATTGCCAGAATATCTGTGTTAACCTCAAATGCACATTAACCATGAGAAGTAAAACACTGTAATAAGTAATTCTGAGGGAAAAGAGAGCAACTCTCCAGGCAGTTTGCTGACAGACTGTGAAATTTGTTTCTGCAGGGATTACAGTGCCTTATATTAGACTTTGAAAGGAAGTGATCATTTTCAAAAAAAATAAAAATAAAAATTATTTCTGATGGGACAAATGACAGGCAGGAGCTGATGGCATAGGATTGAAAATGGAATTTTGCCCTCATGGAAACCTACATAGTGTTGGCAAGGTATGTTATGTCTGTCCACTCCCTTCTGCTGAAGCATTAAACAAAGCAACGGCTGAAGTAGAATAATGGACCTGAAGGACCAAAAACCCAATCTGGTAGAGCAGATTGTGTTTGCATATTCAGAGCTATTTAGCAAATCATATTGTGAATCAAGTCTGCAAAATCAGTACCTTGATAACCTTTAAATAGAGTTTTATATTGGCCAGATGGATCACGGTCTGGTCAAGATTGGGGTCTCATTCTACTAGGTAATCAACAAACACTAGAAATTAAGGTTGGGAGGGAAAACAAACATGTCACTTACAGTGTGCTATTAAACACAGTGCACAAAATCCTGAACAAGCAAGAGAGAAATCATCCCTACAACTTGAACCAGAGTGGCCACCTCTGCAATGTAATGAGAACTTAGGCCTACAGATCTCTAATCTCTAAGGCCCAGCTCTTCCTGGGCTCTCAGTCAGCTATTATAATATATAAAAAAAATAAGGGACACACTGGCTTGCCAAAGTTTATATATTTGTTTATCTGGCTCCTGAGCACCTCCCACAAACAATTTTTTGTACTACTTTCATATGCGTTGCTTCCTCCTTCATTGGGCCTTTAATGTTCCTCTTCCAAGGCCTTTCTACAACAAGTCCCTAGAGCAACCAGCCAGGTGCTCTGGTAGCCCTGGCCAACAACTTGCAGGTCCATTTGTAATGTGTCTGGCCTCTTTCTTGGTTTTTTTGGATGAGGACATCGCCGTGCTCCCTGCCTTGCTGCTTGTTACGGCCAACGCGTTTTGACAGAAAATATTGAGTAGACTATTAGAAGGATTTGCCATTGCAAGCATAAAAATCAGCATAATAAAATATGAATAGCACATTGAACCAGAGTAGTAGGAAGGAACTTTAGCAATAAAAATTAACAATGTATCAGTTTACTGCCTTATGGTCCATTGCTTATTGAGTTAGTTCAGTTTCCTCTTCGACAGAATCATAAAGGCTTCCAGTAGAAAAATAACTCGACAGACCTATTTGTTTATGATCTTTCAGTACCAAGAGAGAGATCAAACCCATAGCTTTGAAACCATCTTTCAGGAAGAAGTGCCGTGCAGAAAACAAGCTGCCTTCCCTCAGCAGGGTGTGCAAGGTGTAGGGGAGCATTGAGAAGAAACTCCTCAGAATATGCAATTTTTCAAGATGAACAAAAATCCTTGTCAAATCCTAGCAGTGAAAGAAAATGAGAAAGTATGATTAATAGCACCACTGAAAGTAACAGAATAAACCATGAAAGCTAAACAATCTAACACCATGCAGGGAGCCTATGAATATGAAGAATCTGTTTAATTTATGTACGTTTAGTGGTTTGCTACATTTCTGAATTCTAAAGGGTACGCATTTGCCTTCCCATATTGACTGAGCAAAGTTTCCAACACTGGACTACACAAACATCCACCATCTCCCTTTACATCCCCACTGGTACAAATACCATATTCCACAGCTATTTAGGAGTTGCCAATGGCTGTTGCTCAGAGATTTGGGGGTTTGGGCTCCAGTTTTCAAGGGTGAGGAATGATCATTTCAGGCTCCTGAAGAAAATATACATAGCTTAAAGAAGAGAAAACCTACATATAAACTTTCTTTGGTTTGTGTTGGTCAAACTACTGTTTCTTCCAGTGTTTTCTTTCAGAAACAGCAACACAGAGGTTTACAAAGAAAAATAAAATAAAGCCCTTAAGTAATGGGTTTATTCCCTGATGCAAGTAATTGATAAAAAACCCCAAGAATATGACCATTCTGCATTAACTTTGAACAAATACTTTTAATATTTTTCATATTAAATATTCATTTCATATTGATGAGCCTGCTTGAGTTGCAACTTATGAAACAGAGCCAAACAGGACTCACCAGTACCTCTGCATTACATTGATACACTAGGGTGGGAAAAGCCACATAAGGGATGCTCATTTTATTGCTTTTATCACATAAAAGTGTTAAACAGCTCCAAGAATATTGCAAAGAGAGCTACATAACTGCTAGATCAATGCAACTTCATCCTGCAACTAAACCCAGCACTTCTAAATTTCTAGCCAAAATATTATGTACTCCTGCAAATACACATTTCTCTAGCTCTGACTCAGATCCATTTTCCCACTATAACATTTTTATTTGAAATTTATTTTAACATATACCAAGTAAGAAGAGATAGAAAGTATTGTTTTATAAATTATCTCTGTTCAGGCAAGACACTGTCTAGTTCCACAAAATGGAAGAAGATGTGAGGCCAGGCAACCAAATCGGTCAAATTAAGATCATGTTCTTATCTAAAAATTAATGTTCTTATCTAAAAATTAATAGATACTTGCCAGTCATTACCCTCAACTACCCAACCACTTTCATGGAGGGAATGCTGGACAAAACATTGGCTGTACTACTGTATGGATCTTCTAACTCAGTGAAGACCAAACATCCCACAGCCTCTCATTTAAATTTCACACCTTTTTCACGTCCTGATTCTGGTAGTATCACAGAATTTCTCTAACGACTAAGTCTTAAGTCACTCATTTCTGTCATTGTGCTGTCGTGACCAAACTTTCTTTACTCTACCTAAAAACTGCAAACAGTATTTTCTCTTTCCAACTCCCACCCTGTTTCATCTTTATTTTCTGCTGGTTTCTCCACTAATTCCGTGGAATTTATTGCTTCATTTCAGAGTCCTTTCTTCGTACCTCTGAAATGACTCACATTATTGCAATTCATAAATGTCTATTTCATAATTCATGATGAAATAGACCAAAAAAAAAACCCCAAACTCCAGATTTTAATAAAGCAGTCTTACAATCTTATTGTTATAGAACAGAAAAGTCTCATTTCTGTGATATTATTTGTTTTATTACTGAGGCTGATTGCATTTGTGCCATCTACATGGTGTTTTTTTAAGATGATCAGGTTGTGTCCCCCACCAGGTCAGCAGATCAGGTAACTGGAAGCTTCAGAGTGTGTTTGATGAAAATAATGAAGTCAGCATTTTAGTACCACAACTGGGCATTTTTTAATGCTTTAAAGTATTATTATGATGAAACTTCTTTTATCAGTTAGGTCTTCACTTGATGTAAATTAGCAATGATTAACTGATATGACTTAGAGCACTTTGAGTTTAGATAAACAGATCTTGTCTCAACTAGAGTCTAATCTGATCGACAGAATTAAGGAGGTAATCATAACAGACATGATTTCTTTGGGGCTTTGCTGTTGCTTTTATCTTTTTGGAATAGCACTTGGAAGAAAATAGATCTTCTAACCATATTAACCTTTGCTTGTGCTGCAGCTCTAAAATATTGTATTTGAAAGACTGGTGTATTTTTCAGTCTACAAACTGTCCTCACGTCCCTTAGGTTAACCAGCTAAATATTTGAAATTACATAATTTTATAGGTAGACATCACATCTGAAACATACCTGGCAAAAGCTGTTAGCAAACTGCTGATAGAGAGGTTGGTTATCCCAGGCATCTTCATACGTCCTGTATTCCTGTAAAGGTCAGTTTCTTATTGGCTTGAAAATGTAAAGGTTTCTAGAGGGTACAGCATACAAATGTTCATCAGACACAGAGCGTTGTATTCTGGTGCAGAAGAAACCTATCTTTTTTTTCACTTAGTACAAGCTTCATCAGTTATTTTAACAGCCTGATGCTGAAAATTAATAATTCGCGTTTGCCCTTATAAAATTCATCCTATGAGATTACATAGGATAATTAAGATGTACAAGAGGATTTTAGAAAAATGAAAGGAATTATGTCAAGGCTGGCAGGCTTAAAAATTAAGCATACCTGCTTGGCTGTTGTGAGCAATCATGTTTCCTTACTCCACTGCTCTTCCTACTCACTCTTTGTGAGCCAGCCAGACACAGAAACATCGTGAATCTTTTGTCAGCCCGTCTCTAAAATTTATAAAAGGTCACTAAAATTACAAATCCTTACATTAAATTAGCAAATTAACAAATCAGAGTATTATTTAAGTAATTGACTCATGGTATATGACTTGAAAATTAGGTTTATTCCTTTAAGCCTTCTGAATCGGTCCTTTGTGACAGGTTGGGTGCACAGGCTGTCTCTGGTAGGATTTTCTGGTGGTTTCTCCACTAATTCAGTGGAATTTATTGCTTCATTTCAGAGTCTGTCTCTGGTGGGGTTTTCTGGTGGGGCTGTCTCCTGGACAGCTCAACTCAACTTCTGCTGAGTATAATGGGAATTTGATCATGAAATGCACACGACAGCACATTCAGCTAGCTGTCCATGAACACTATAAATAATGCTACTTAGGTTCTGGAACTAAAAAGGGTATTAACAGTGCTCCTGAAGCTGTAGTTAATGTTTTGTAACAAATATTTAGATAGCTTCAGCCTGTGCCCTGGCGTGATAGCGTACACCGCTGGTGCCACATCCTGGCAGCAGAAAGTACTGGCTAGGCTGAATGAAAGCAACTGATCCTTCATGGATCCATCTCAAAGCAAATAAATTCACCATTCCTATGCCTGCACCTGCAAAAAGGGGCTCATGCAATGTCTGCCAGATAGAGACCCGTGTCCTTACTTCAAAACTACTGTCGCAGGGTGGCTTGCACCTCTTCTCCTGAGTCCCACCTGAACTCTGACAGATTGCTGCTCCTGGTTTTGGCCATCTCAGCCAGGCTGAGATTAAATAAAATAATTTTTTTTTATTTTTTCTTTTTATTTAGCTAGTTTTTTAACTCTGCTTTCGGTGAGGTTTTAATAGAGTGGTGTACGTGCAGCTCATAGTCACGCTCTGTGGCTGAAAATATCAGTTTTAAATCATGAACACCAGGGCTTTTAAGTACCTCTGAAAAAGTTGCTCAATAATTTCTTGATCAGGAAGGATCGACCAATAATAGCCACCCCCCTGACTCAGAGAGATGTAACTAGACCTAACTTCACAGACTGCACCAAAGCAGATTTCCCAGGATTAGTCTGGGCTGTTCTTCAGACGCAATGCTGACGTCCCCCTGGACAGATTATTTATCACAATATATTACAGCTGATTCACGGGTGCTGAATGCAAATAGCTACGCTGATGTTAAGGATGTTGCAAAGCTAATAATGAGAGCTATGAATCCTAGTTTACCATCACTGCTCTGCAAGCATGTAATTCATTTCAGGAAGGTGAGAAAGCTATTAAAAAGTAGCATAATGATGTGACTCATTCTGTCATCCAGCATAAATAGCGTAGGAGAATGGGGGTTTGCCAGCATCTCTCCTGGTTTGAATGTCTCTGAACGGTAGTTCTCTTCCCCTCCAAGTTAGATGGGTGTCTTGCTGCCTGTTCCTTAGTTACTTAAAAGAGAAAACTTAGTTACCTGTAAGAGAAACTACCTGTTATTTTATGATAGAAAGTTTTGGTTGTTTTGGGTAGTATGTTTTGCTGCTAAAAAACCCCAACCAAACCACTGAAAAACCTCACACCTGGCTCATCTGCTCAGGATTTAGCCAAAGGAACAGTAAAGAGGACTAAATCCCTCAGATAATACTCAGAACAAGTTTTCACATACAGCCCAGTCTGAAACCGCACTTTATTCAGATTACAATTAAAAGGCAGAAAACCTGTTGTTTTAAGTGGGCAGCAGTGGATTAACTCCAAGGTAGATGATCTGAAAGATCCCTTCCAATCTTCTGCAGTGTTTAGAAAATCTGCAGATGGTGCTCAACAGCCCCAAACTGTCTGAGCTTCCCTTCCAACCCTGTGTCATATGCTGTGGTCCCCTTTTTACTTCTCAGTGGGAAGCATCCCTCAAAATACTTGTCTCCTCTGGATTAGTCTGCGCTTCTGGGCCAAGCAGAAACCCATGAGTGCCCAGCTCTGACCACAGTAACACCAATTCACAGCCTCAGTTTCCATCTCTAGCCTACATGAAGGCAAAAAAAATATTGAATACATGAGTCCAGGGTAAAAAAACCTACAGGAGTATGCCTGAAACAATAATTTTCATCTGAAATCTGAAGACCAATATTGTCTGGAGTAACAAGGACACAAAGAAGGGTGAACTCCCGTAGGAGTCTCTTTTGCCTTAAGCCTGACCAAAGCCCAACACTGCCACACTCCTGCACAGAATTCTGCTAAATTCTGAGTTCATAACTCCTATTAAGTTGCTCAAAATGTTGCAAATGGACCGCAGAAATAATAAAAAAATACCACATATATAAATGTGGTGTATATATATAAATACCACAGTCTTCCAGTGTCATACACCCCTGAGCTGGAAATCAGCCCCACGCTGCCTTACCCCATCCAGAGATCACAGAAAGATAGATTTCTCTTCCTATTTTAAAAGGGCTTTGTCAGTTCTTAGAGAACTCAAATAATAGTCAGACAGGAGGAGAAGAAATTATGGCAGATGATAACAACCATCTGTAAAATGTGTGAAATTAAATTTAAATTAATTTTAGTATATTCATTTTAGGTAAGAAATAATTATTTCCAGTGGTTAAAAAATTCTTCCGTGTTTCTGACAAAATGGTTATTAAATCTTTTCAGAAATAGTCAGTAGACTTTTAAAGCTATAATATAAGAGGCCTGTACCTTAGGAAGTATATTCAGTCTGAAATAGAACCTGTAAATGGATTTTTCTTATCATCCGTGAAGAAGTGTAAACTTAATCTAGTTGCTGGTTCTTTATCTCAATTCCTTTTTAATTGACATCCTGCTTAAACTAATGAAAAACCACCCTCTCTAAAGTCACTGCCATTAGTACCTTATTCTGGCCTTGTCAGGAATGACTGACAGAGAGGTGAAGCTTAAACACTGATAGTCGGAAATCTTTCTGTTAATCCAAAGTCAGTAAAATCTTCAGACTCTTCAGACTGAACATATAGCTATTATTCTTTGTAACTAACTTCAAGAGGATTTGGAATGGTAGATAACGTGATTCAATAAGACCTTGGTACACCCTTAAAACTCCACTTAAAAAGCCTCACTGGGTTATTAGATATTGTGATTTATTCCAGAAAATGCTTTCAAAGAAAGCTCAGGAAGAAAACTAAGAAAGCTCTATATTTGAAACATAATCTTTCCTGCCTTCCTGTAATTCAAGTTCCCAATTCTCCTTGAATACGGCGGTTAGTCAGAGCCCAGATAGAGCAGATAAAACCACAACTGAGGGAAAGTGAGGACTGGCCAAGCAAGCCCAAGCTACAATAAGTCTCTCTCAGTTCCCTTGACCTAAGGCAAGTGTATGTTTGCTCAACAGAAATGCAACTTGGTGACACGGGGCATCATATCTGTCAGAAGCACAATATTCAGTTTACACCACCACGTTATTACTCTACTAGACCATTGGGCTGGAGGACAATTTTCCAGGGAAACAGGCTGGGCTAGGAGAGTGATCCCTTCTCGTGACATCCAAGGCTTTTTGATATCTTGGAAAAAATATTTTCAAAATTTTGGGGCAGTAAGTACAAAAAAACCTGGTTTAATTCTTTATATTAAGATTTTGATTTGGGGAGAAAAAACCCCACATTTTGTGTTGTAATATAGCCATTCTCTAATCAACTCTATTCATCATTTAACTAAATAAATTCAACATTGTTAATAAATTAAGTAGTGGCTGAGCAGAAGAATAGAATTTTTATTTACCTGAAAGTCCTATGAGTGTTTATGTGTATTTATGTTTTCTATATGAATATTTTGCTTTTCAAGCCATCCTGGGTTTTTTTTTTTTGCTGCAATCATGTGAGCTACAACTATCAAGGTACTTCTTGGAAACCAGGGCTGTAATTCATTCTTGTCAGAAACAGATGGCTGAGAAAATGAAAGCAACAACAGCAGTGAAAGACAAGGCCACCTGGGTCCATCAAGCTGATGAGAAAAGCCTGTGAAGCTAATGCCAGTGGTATCTGGAGCCAACACAAGTAGGCTTTCAAAACAAGAGCTAGGAGTCAGTCAATAACAAATGGGGAAAAAAAATTAGAACCCCCCTATGAAGCTGTAGGGGAAGCAGCCCTGGGAATTTCAGACATAGTCAGCATTATGAAACATGCCAACTATGAACTGAATTGGCTTGGCCAGCCCTCAAGAACCCCAGACCCTGGAGGTAGGAGGGAGGGCCTGGAGTAAGGATGACTCTCCCTCAGTCAGGTTAGAGATCATTAAAGCAAATTTGACACCCACAAATCCACGAGCCCTGATGCGATGCACCAGTGAGTGCTGAGGGAACTGGCAGATGTTGTTGCAAAGCTGCTCTCCATCATCTTTGAAAAGTCAGGGAGAACAGGAGAGGTGCCTGAGGACTGGAGGAAAGCTAATGTCACACCAGTCTTCAAAAAAGGCAAGAAGGAGGATCCAGGAAACTACAGGCTGGTCAGCCTCACCTCCATCCCTGGAAAGGTTATGGAACAGCTCATCCTGGATGTCATCTCTAAGCATGCAAAAGTGAAAAAGGTCATCAGGAGTGGTCCACATGGATTCACCAAGGGGGAAATCATGCTTGACCAGTGTGATAGCTTCTGTGATAGAATGACTGGCTGGGTGGATGAAGGGAGAGTGGTGGATGTTGTCTACCTTGACTTCAGCAAGGCACTGTTTCCCATACCCTCAGAGGCACTGTTTCCTTACCTCATAGGTAAGCTTAGGGAGTGTGGGTTAGATGAGTGGACAGTGAGGTGGATTGAGAATGGGCCAAGTGGCAGAGCTCAGAAGGCTGTGACCAGTGGTGCAGAGTCCAGTTGGAGGCCTGTAACTAGTGGTGTTCCCCAGGGGTCAGTACTGGGTCCAGTCTTATAAAATATATTCATCAACAACTTGGATGAGGGGACAGAGTGTACCCTCAGCGAATTTGCTGATGAAACAAAACTGGGAGGAGTGGCTGACACACCAGAAGGATGTGCTGCCATTCAATGATACCTGGACAGGCTGGAGAGTTGGGTGGTGAGGAACCTGATGAAATTCAACAAGGGCAAGTGTAGGGTCCTGCACCTAGGAATAGTCTTATACACCAGTACAGGTTGAGGGCTGACCTGGTAGAAAGCAGCTCTGTAAAGAGAGACCTGGGAGTCCTGGTGGACAACTAGTTGACCATGAGCCAGGAATGGGCCCTTGTGGCCGAGAAGGCCAACGGTCTCCTGGGGTGTAATAAAGAGCATGGCCAGCAGGTTGAGGGAGGTCATCCTCCCCCTCTACTCTGCCCTAGTGAGGCCACATGTGGAGTCCAGTTCCAGGCCCACCAGCTCAAGAAGGACAGGGAACTACTGGAGAGAGTCCAGTGGAGGGCTACAAAGATGATCAAGGGAATGGAGCATCTCTTTTATGAGGAAAGACAGAGAGACCTGGGTCTGTTTAGCCTAGAGAAGAGAAGACTAAGAGGGGATCTTATCAACACTTATAAATATCTAAAGGGCGGGTATCAAGAAGATGGGGTCACTTCTCCATGGTGCCTGGTGATAGGGCAAGGGGCAAAGGACACAAGTTGGAACACAGGAAGTTCATTCTGAACATGTGGAGGAACTTCTTCACTTTGAGGGTGGCAGAGTCCTGGAACAGGCTGCCCAGAGAGGCTGTGAGTCTCCGTCTCTGGAGATATTCAAAACCCACCTGGATACATTCCTGTCCAATCTGCTCTAGGTGGAACCTGCTTTGGCAGGGGGGTTGGACTAGATGATCTCCGAAGGTCCTTTCCAACCCCTACCATTCTGTGATTCTGTGAAAATGTGGAAAAAACGGACAGTCAAGCACCAAGCCATGGAGTTTTCCTGGGACCACATTACCAATGAAGGTCGACTCAGTTTGATATTTTCACAGAAGAATGCAGTTAAACAGAAATTAAAATCCCTGTTTAACTGCTTGGCCTACCTCCCCTGACAACACAGGATTATTTCTCCACTCCAGAGATCCTTTAAGTATTTCATGAACCACCATAGAGCATTCCCTGGAACTAGTCAGATAGCCATATAAAGTTAAATTTCCTCCTCTTTTTGCTACTTCAGGCCACTATGTCCACCACAGCAGGTCCCTGTTTGCAGGTTATGCTGGAAGAAACTGAATAACCTAGAATTTGTGATGAATGCAGGTAATAGCAAGATTTCTTTCTATCCTGCCTGAGGTCCTATTGCCTTCTCTCTGCATGTGCCCTTGGAGCTGAGAATGAAGCTGGGCCAGCAGCACTGTTCAATGACAGTCCAGGCTTTATTTCTCCCAGAGGTACCGTGCAGCACCAGTCAGGACCAGTTAGTGTTCTGTAAAGTTTCTCCCTCTTTAGTAACTTTAACCTCACCAGCTGCTGCTTTCTATTCTTTCTGGTTTACGGTGATTTAATGACCTCTCTAGACCTATAGGTACCTCCTGCCACACAGAAGTGAATCCTAGGTTGAACTGAGCATAAGAACACCATTAATAACGCAGCAATTTGTAAAATTACTCTGTTTTAACCATGATCATGCCCCACACATGGAGCTGGCATACCATTGGAAACAACTGCCACTTTCCATGAAGTTCTACACTAAAAGCAAAACAGGAAAGATTTCAGTGATTCCATAGTGTCAGGTATTTTCATACTACCTGACAGTACAAGTCTTTTATACTTCTCCTTGATTGCATCGGTGGATGACTCCTGAAGTGAGATATCATGATGTACAAGATCTAATCCATGCATCTTGAACATTAGGAAAGAATTTTTCACAGAAAGAGTGGTCGGGCATTGGAACAGGCTGCCCAGGGAGGGGGTGGAGTCCCCATCCCTGGCTGTGTTTAAGGGCCGTTTAGATGCAGTGCTGAGGGACATGGTGTAGGGGAGGACTTTGTAGAGTAGGGGAGATGGTTGGACTCGATGATCCCAAGGGTCTCTTCCAACCTAGACGATTCTATGATTCTATGATTCTATGATCTTCTCATTAGCCTTTCTGAGAAACAAAAAGCCATACATATAATGAGCATAAATTGTTACATAAAATGAAGCCACCAAGCTGGCCTAAATAAATACATGCAATGGATCATAGAATCATAGAATCATCTAGGTTGGAAGGGACCTTCAAGATCATTTAGTCCAACCATCAACCTAACTCTTGACCAAAAAAAAAATCACTAAACCATGTCTCCCAGCACCATGTCAACCCGTCTTTTGAACACCTCCAGGGATGGTGCCTCAACCCCTTCCCTGGGCAGCCCATTCCAAGGCTTGATAACCTTTCCAGTGTAATGCAGTAAAGGTGTTTGGCTGCAAAAATCCTTTGGAGTTTGATGCTTTCTCTTTTCACTTACCTATAAAATCACATGAATTCACAGGGAAACGGTTTGATCGGCCCTTGTTCCTGCTATTATTTCTGCTCACAGATATAACACGTGGCCTGATGCTGAGGGGCGTATAGGCACAGCCACCTACGGACACTCGAGTCCCTGTGCTGCTCTTAGCAAAATTCACCAGGATGCCCATATTTCACATGGAAACGACAACTCTGTGAGACTTAAAGGTACAGTCCTGTCGAAAGGTGCGGAGGTACAATCATAAACCACGATATTTATTATGGCAAAACAAAAGCTTTGCGCAAATAGAAGTGCTACTCAGAGGTTGCAGTAGCAGTTATCTGCAACTGCAGCCACTTTGAGCTTTTGGGTTTTATTTAAAAAGCTTAATTGGAATTTTTATTACTCCCAATTAAGCTTTTTAATTAAAAAGAAAGTTGAAGGAGGCTGGAGGCAAGTATTGCTGAAACTCATATCTGCATAGACTCTGAGGGGGGGAAAAAAGGAAGGTTTGTAAAATTGCAACTGTCAGGCAGCTGCAGCTTTCAGTAATGCTCACTACTGATCCTATTTACCTTGCCAGTGGCATACTGCAAATGCAGATACACACCTTTAATTGGAAAAACAGGCTTTCAGCTTTAAATAGCACTATACGCATATGAATCTTGCTTCATTCCTGCAAAGGAGACACCACATGAGTAAAAAAACCTACCAACACCCCCATCTCTGCTTTATTTATTGCATTAACAATTTGAGCTCGGTAGATATTTTCCTTTTCCAAGACCAGGGTAGACTCACCACATAATGAATTTAATGACACTCCAGCAGACATGGGGTAACGTGCACGTTTTTCTCCAGACCTTTACATGTACAGACAGGACCAATAGATTGCATGCTCATAAAACAGGGGACCCTTCTAGCCCTACATTATAGAACCCAATCAATATTTTTGGCCCAAAATTTATTTCAACTTTTCCTTCAAACTCGGTTATTCCATTTAACACTTTATTTGGATTAAGGAAAAAGCACTGGTTTAAAGAAGGGGTGAGAACTATTACGGAGAGGTCTGCAACATTTAGCTGGCAAAGCAGAGACTGGGAAACCTTCCCATAGCCAGACCAATGGAACTTTTCTTAGATGATTAATATTTTGGACCAAATCTCAAAAAAAAAATCATTCATTCTTGCACATTAACTTCTCCACTCTTTGGAAGCAAAGGTATTTAATATTTAGCCCTACCTGAGGTTTGTTCATATCGTAAGATAATATTCTGACAAAGAGAGGTGTTGGATTAGCCCTTGGAGTTCTTAGTGAACTGATTTTGAAAGTCTTTCCCAGATATAAATCTCAACAGAGCTGTTTTTTACCTCACCTTTGCCTTAAGTAAAAATCTTATTGTGAATTTCTCTTCTAGAATAGTTGTGTTTTGCATAGGGCTTAGAGGACAAAGCTGTAGAAGGGAATGAAGATTAGTATTGTATGCTTTTTTTGGGTTTTTTTACATAAAGAGTGAAAAGTGAAGGAATTATCCAACCTGCAAACTGCAACGATTTTCTCATGAGAAAGAGGTATTTAATCCCACAGGAAATTAAGGAATCAAGAGAAGTTGATTTCCTTCCTGTTATTGTAGATAAGCTGTGTTTTGAGCAAAGACTAGAAGGTGAAGGGTGTGGGTAAACATGTACCATTTTTCTTAGAATGACATAAACCAAAGATTTAGGGATGTTCACTTCCTTAGATACAGTCCAGACAGTGCTTTTATATTTTTAATAGAAATTATAAATCATGCTGTGTAACTTTTGAAACAGGTAATAGAATCATCTGAGTACATAAATCTAAGAACTTTTATGTCTTCTGTGTTTTCTATCTTTCCATCTCTTCAATATTTAATTCTGAATATTTGCCTGTTTGTACATCAAGGTCGTTTCCAAACAGTTTAGTAATTTAAAGAGAATAAGCTTCACAGATATTAGTTGTCTGAGGAGCAGAGATTAAATTATAACGCTTCCCTTTTAACAGTCTTAGGACTGATCTTATTTAAGTCAGAGCACAATGACGTAAAACCCCATACAACACAGTTAGACATCAAAAGCTTTGTTCTGAAAATATACTGCATGAATTAAGTAATGATCTATGAATTAAGCTGGTCTATAGGGTGAGACCCATAGAGGAAAGGAGCTCTGCGACCGGTGGACACTGGGCATAGATATCTAGGCTGTGTTTGATCTCGGAGCTGTATGGCTGTAATACTGACTACAATTCAGGAGAGACTATGATACTGCAATTTACATTAAATGCTTAATAGTAGCCATTCCAGACTACATAAGGATGCCAGTCATTTTATAGAGTCTAATCTTATAAAAAAAGAGGCCAACCCATAGCACTGTTTCTACGTTTTTCAGTGCTTCATTAACAAGGTTTTCTTTTAAAAAGCACTGCTGGCAATATTGTAAATACATTTACTCTGATTCATAGGTGAGCCCTGGGATATTTTTTCATGTTTATGGATATGATTTTATGTATTTTTTTCATGAATATGTCTCTTAGATACAGGCTGGTTACGTTTTTATATGAATCATTAAATATTTTTAGCAGGGATTACTAGGAGTTTATTTGTTTCCACATAGAAATGGGGTTATTTTGTTTGTTTTGCAAAATGTTACTATTACTTACTGAGAATCTGCTGGGGCAATACTGATATGATGGGGATAAAGCTTTCAAAGCCAATTTCATTTGTTTTAAATGGGTTGTGTCATCTGGTATATACCAGCGAATGTCTTTAGCAAGTGAGAAACCAAGGCAAATAAATCAGGCATAAATCTAAATCACTGGCTTTATGGTAAGGAGAATTGCATTGTTTTCTCTGAGAAACTTGGTAGAATTTCTTCTTTAAGAAGTTAGCCCTCCTGCAGGGTGTGATACCAGCAAGGCTCCAGCACCATTCAGGGATGCTCACCTCTGCTCCAACCAAACCAGCTTGGCTCCAACCTAAATACATAACTTTGGACAACATGCAGGATGCATCCTCGATACGGGAGGAAGAAACGGGGGGAAAAAACCCACCTTATTTAAATGAGTCTGCATTTTTCCTCTATTCTTACCAAGTTAGCTATAAATGCCTGCCTTGCCTAATCTTTCAATCAGTCAATCTCAGTCAGGGAAGTCAGGGCACTTAAGAGCTGCTGCGGTTCCGAGTAATTACCTGAACAAAAGATCGTCTGGGATTGGACTAAGTATGGGCTCATCTGTATTCAGCAGCGTTTTTCGGATCATGAAAGGAGAAACCTGGAAAGTACAAGGGAGGAGACACAAAAAATGAGACATATGAAAAGGGAAAAAATATACTGTAAATGTAAAACATAGGGAAAAAAAAGGTAGAGATGTATTTTTGTTGTTTGATCAAAGCAAAGATTTCTGTGAGAACACAGAAGGTGCCAGAAAAAAAACTAATTAAGAAGGCTTCTCTGCTTCAGCATTAAATTTCTGCTAAAAATAAGAAATAAGGAGGCAATGGACATTTTAACTACCAATAACCAAACACTCATTGGGGCTATCTGAAGCCCAGGATTAGCTACTATTTCAAATCATGATGGAAACGTAATCTCTGGTCTCTCGCATAACCCTCCTGATCAACAAGCCATTTAATAAACCACAGAACCTCTTCTTCCTTTCCCCTGAACCACTTCGAAAAGTCTCTGATTCGCCCTGATGTGAGGTGGAAAACGTTACAAGATATAATCAGAAAATTTTGTTTGATAAGAAAATTGTTTGCTACCCAGCTCTATTTGAAGCTGAACCCTGAGCCAAACTCTGCATTCACACATCCTGAGTTAAGTGCTTCACTCAGAAAACGCCAGTGGGCAACGACCTTGTTTTAAATGTTTTGGTGGGGACTGTAAAGACATCGATTTTTAACAGCATTCTCAAGCGGAAACATTTTCACTTTATTATACGGGTAAAAGCAATTCAATATAGCAATGAACTTCTTTAGGGAAGTATTTTAGTCAGGGATTCATAAAATTCACCATCAAATCACCTAACCTAAAAACTTACATAAGCTGTAGAAGCTGTCCCAGTTACACTAAGCTTTGGCTTCACCTCTTTCCCACATTTTAGTTTGGTTTGAATCACTTTTATTACTTTTACTTTATTACTATTACTATTGGCCAGTAATTGGAAGCCTTAATTGCAGCCTCAGCCTGTATCAAATCATTATTGATTGAAGGTGGAATCAGAACTCATGCTCCTTTACTAGCTAGCAGGTGGTCTTCCCAGAAGAATATTTGCAATGGATGTCTCAGAAGATATAACCACACAAATGTTGATTACCAGCTTTTTGAACTTAACCATGTAACAGCTTTGCTAAAGCTAACCTGGTACTAAAAAGCAAGAGCTCTTGTTACTTCCACTAAGCTTCAGCCTGGCTTTCTGTTCTGGGGATGAAAATTTTCATACGATGCCAAACTCCACCTCTCTTGGTCTTGTAACTCATTGATGATGCTGCCTAGACAGATTTTAACTCTACAGAAGCCCAAATGTCCAAAAAAAGCAGTTGAGTTCCTCAGAAGCGAGGCATTCTGCAGAACAGGAGGTTATCAACCCAGTGGGTAATGTAAAATTTGCCTGTGGTTGGAATGACTGTCGAAGCAGCAGCGGTTTCAGATGTGCACTCCTGGCATTTATGACAGACAATTTATACACATATGTGCACAATATGGAAAGAGGTCAAAATTCTTTAAGGTAGAATCATAGAATCATAGAATGGTTTGGGTTGGAAGGGACCTCAAAGATCATCTAGTTCCAACCCCCTGCCCTGGGCAGGGACACCTCCCACCAGACCAGGTTGCTCAAGGCCCCATCCAGCCTGGCCTTGAAAGATAGTCCAAGACAGGTTCCTAGAAATAAAAAAAAATAAAATATGGCTTTAAAATTGTAAGGAATACTAGCCATAAGAAAAGGAAGAGCTCCGGTGGTGACCCACAGCCCCTCTCAGAGCACATGGTATAGGGTAAAGCAGAAAGCGTGTCAACTGCTTTGTGAAAACTCTGATGGCAATCTTTGGAGGAACAGCAGTTGGATGAGGATGAGCATGGGCACAGCCTATTAATAGCTGAAAAGCAGGCAATTTCCTCAAAATCACCTGTGGTGCTCAGGAAGGCACCATGCTAAAGACCTTTCTTTTGCTGACTGAGCTTTATATTTCTTTAACAATGAGTAACTTATTTGGAAACTCTCAAAAACCTTCATATATTTCTAAAGAAAGATTCAGAGCCACATGTTTTAAAATCTTTCATCATTATCTCCATCTGTGGGGGCCTGGAGATTGTATTAGATGGTATTATTTCAGTGCCCAGAGATTACCAGCCTTCGTTGCCAGGAGAAATTGCTGCCTCTAACACCAGCACAGGCAGCGGTTCCCACACGGCTCTGAAAACACCAGGTGAGGGGGAGGCTGTACGCTCCTCCCATGTTAGGGTTAAAGTGTCTATAAAATGAAATAAATACTTGCTGAAAGCTAAAAAGATTTCTGCTGGCTGCGGAGTTACTTTCACACTGTTCCGAAAATCTCCTTAATTGAGGTGGCCACAAACTGACCAGAACATCCTCTAACTCTGAGCTGACAGTACGTCCATCAGTGTGGAGGGTGCTTAAATTATCT